CATGGCGTTTATGGTGATTCAAAGGTCAAACTACTGTTTGCATTTTAAGCTGAAATAGCTATACTTTTATTTCCTTCTCAATTTAAGAAAATGTTACTGTTTCACTCCAATGCATTGTTCATTCATCTTTTGATATACATCTTATGGAGAAATACAATGTACAGAGATTGAAAGCAAATATGGAACAAGCGGTGCAGTGTCACGCCGATATTACTTTACCTCCGAGCAATTATTCGGACCAACTGGTTCTCTCAAGCAGGTTGATATTGCCATAACAGCAGCTTCAATAGACGCGTCTTCACCCTATTTCATACATCAGATTCATACAAGACAACTTCAAAATCTCAATATAAATCAAGGGAAGAAGGAAATTTTACAGTTTTACCTTTTCTTTCCAATAAAACATGTTTCCGTATTGCCCTGCCAAACGGCTCCAGAAGCTACGTGGAATGTCAAGATCCACAGTAGCTCCAACATTGAAATTTAGTATGTTTCCTGGACAAATACAGAAAGTACCAAAAGATAAGCCAACAGAACAAATGTAGTCTGAAAAAAGAAGAATTTCTGGCGTATTACCAAAGGTAGGATCAGCAACAAAAACTATGGTCCTGTCGTCCACTTGCCAAAAATCTTTGATAGCTAATCCTGTGAATATAGCATTTAAACATTATGTTACACATCTAGAAAAAATTAATTAAGTTGTGGAGATAAATTGGACACTAATAGTAGAATATGTACCAGGCGTATCAGGATAGTTCTGAGCTAAAACTCTCAGCTTAAAACCAGTATCCTTTTCTATATCCGTGATCTCTTGTGCAAGTCTTTTCTCCTGTACACTAGTAATAAATCATGAGAAATTCTTTTTCTTTCGTATGAAAAAGAAGCTCTTGTAGTTCAAGCAAAAATTAGTACGATAGAATAAGATAGTGCGCTCTCTATATGAATTAAAAGCTCGTAAACAGAGTAATGGACCAATGTGAAGAAACTACTTGGCAGTCAGCCTTATCTATTTCATCATGAAACTAGCATACCCCGAAACACAAAATAAAAATAAAACGTAAAAGAACAACTAAACTGTATTTTCCATAAGTGAGATCCAGAATCAAAGAGAATGTAACAAGAAAGCAAACTTCTACTTGCTTGTGGATCTAAAATTCAGACATTAGAAGCGCAAATTTCGGATATCCAATGTCTTTTAGCAGAGAAAACAAACTAGAGAAAAGGCAAGGCAAGGAAGTATAATGTGGAAAGCTACATGAAATTCCTCTTAAATAAAGGGACCACATATCGCACCTGACCATCTGAGAGGAAGCCAGCAACATCAATAACTGGAGTAAACTCCTTAGGAAGCAATTCCGGCTTGTTAACTCCGACCTTTGCTTCAGCAATACCAACTCCTACAAACATAGGTTTATTTTTCACTCAACATTCTAATCCAAGAAAAATAATTGTAGAGGTATCAAGGCACACATTTCCTAAAAGTTAGAACATATCCAGGAAAATACGTCCAGCCATATCCTGAAGTACATTCCCTACTGAATCAGAAAATTATTCATTTCCCCTTCATAAATGAAAAGAGTATCTGAGAAGCTCAAGAGAGTAACATTTTCTCTAGATAAAAAAAAATTGATATATAGGTGGGGAACTACGGAGCATAAGAATGAGAGGCAAATCGATGTGATGCAGATAATTAAAAAAAAAACAATAGAAAAATATGAATAATTTAACTAGGTTAACATCTTTTGACGAGATAGAAGATATCAACATTCCAATTGTTAATGGTTAGTTTGTAGAAGCTTAAGGATGTAAGGTAGCACTTAATCTTTTGAAAGTTATGAAGTAAGATGATTTCCAGAATAAGTTCAAGCGCTTGTGCCATTTCAACACTGTAAATCAAGTTCACTAACATAATTCAGTGTCATTCCAGAAAGCCTACAAGAGGTTCTGTTTTGTTACTAACCTAGAGGACTACTTAGGAAATTCCATCAGAGGCATGTGTTTGTCCAAGTATCCTCTACCCCATCGGCCCATCCCACGAAAATCTGGCATTGCCTGAAATATGGCTTATTTATAGGGGTAACTAAGTGTGGAAAGATGAGCTTAATAGGATAATTTCAGGTCTCTACTTAAGAGTTTTGGATATAGGCTGTTGAAGCCAGTATTCTGTGTTCCCTTTGCTACAATTGAAAATTGATAGGATATTGCAACTAGCAGAAGAAAAGCAAGCTATGAAAGATCAGAAATCACATCAAATGTTAGACGCAGATGGATGCTAGGACAATAAAACTTGGAAAAGCCAAAACAAGCTCATACCAACCCAACCCCTGCAAGAAAGGAAGAAATAAAACAAAACTTTCATGACCGAGGATTTATTGATCAATCAACTATGCCTAGAAGGAGTTGACTATATGAATCCTATGAGTATTCATCATAGGTACATTAATTCTATGCTGACCACGAACCTAAGGCAACCACCTCCTTTATCCTCAAACTTTGCATCGGCTATACTTTAGGAAACTCACATACGAATATTTACGAAATGGAGCACCCAAAGATATGGCCTAGTGATCAATCAAGTAGGAGGAGAACCATGAGTTCAACGTTACCCAATACTTATACTCGTGTAAAGTAGCAGGTACTGGATGGGATAACTTAGGTGCATGCAAGCTGGTTCGGACACCATCAAATCATTAAAAAAACAACAGTCTTCATACTAGTCTCAAAATAATAATTTGGTTAGTCACGATTAATTCGGTGAAGAACTATACTTCATACAAAACGGGGACAATCACAATTAGAATTTTGTTTTACAATATGTCAAAGTATCTACTAGGTAACTATAGCTATCAGATAATTCAGTAGCCATATTGAGCTATCTGCTTACTCTGAATTCCTCAGAACTTGCTTTTGCAAATCCTTCCAACCCATCTAAGGTTTTAATACAAATGGCACAGCAAAAAACAGCAACATTACAAAAGAAACTCAGAGCAGTAAATTTACAGTTCTATCATTAGGATGCTAAACTACAAAATTAAGTCGAATTTTTAAGATTACTAGTAAGAACCCATTTGCAACAAATTATAGAAACACCAAAAGACAATGTCTAAAGCAATTATCAAACAATAAAATTTAAGGGAAAGGTAAATAACCTGTGAAGGAGAGAGCAAGAGCTAAAGAACCAGAGAGCAAGAAATTCAAAGTCTTGGATGAAAATTCTGAAATTTTGGATAGTTGAGGCGCTGAGTTTTCATTTCGGACTGAAATTCGGAAATGGGAATGTGATGCTTTGATGGGATGGATAGAAGGAGAGTAACAAATGTTGCGAAACGTGAGAGATGAAGGAAGATGGAAAAGAGAGGTCATTTTTAGTGTTCTTGTGTCTATTGAAAGGGGCACGTATCCTCTGTCTAGAATATTAGTACTAATTTATTCCTATTCTTTTTAACTTTTCTTTTTTCTTGTGACGAAAAACTTGGCTTATTGTTTGATGACGAATAGAAATATTTTACTACTACTAGTATAGCCCCTCTCTTTCTTTCTTTTTTTTTCTTTTTAAGGAAATTTTTACTTTTTTTGTGGAATCCATAAAAATTTTAAATTTCGATTGTCAGATAAGCGTTAAAATTTCACATCCCCTTTTTAATTTTTCCTCGTATTAGTAAAGTGATACTATTGGTGGAAAAAGAAGGTGAAGTGGTATAAACAACTTCATCTGATTTACTCTCTCTTTATATGTAAACAATTAAAATAAAATAAAATACTTGCTATGAATTTAAAAAGGTAAAGAAAGACTATTTAAGGGAAATGTCATGTGAAAAATTTTGTTTCTGATTTGTGATATTTGGTTAGTACATATTTTTAATATGCACTTAGAAATCATAACAATCTAAAATTTTAAGTTAAGAAAAATAGAAGGAGAAGATAAAATATGGTAAAAACTATATATGTTAGCTCAAAAAAATTATTATACGCATAGGAAGTTAAAGAGCTTAACTTTGTAAAGTGCCGAATTTCAATACACGCACCTTAATAAATTCTTTGATAATCCTAAGTTAAATTTAATTTTACAAAACTAATTTTTATAGCTTACACATTTGTTTATTAATATTGAAGGTATTATAAATATAACTTTTAAGGGCATAAAAGTCTAATAATATTACAGGGTCATTAGTCTTTTACATTCAATTTATTGATCTTCATGCTTATAATATAATATAATATAATATGATAGATTACTTCAAATTGAGAGTAATATATTCTAAAAATAATTTAAATTATCATACTTTTTATGTATAAGAATAGAAACAAATTTTTTAGTTAATGCATGATTAAATTTGGTTAGTAAAATTTCACAAGGACCAAAATCAAAATGCATCAATAACTAAAATGACCAAAACTGCAATTTCCATTCAAAAGTTCCTTTTCATCTTCTTCCTCGTTAGGGTTTATCACAATTACTGCATAAACCCTCTTTCCATTTGCAGCAATTATATCTCTTTCTTCGAAAATTGTTGCATTTTTGGAATTCAATTTACTAGTCAAGCGCGCGAATTCTCAAATCCAAGTCGCTAAAAATTAGCTGTAAGTACACAATTACAAATTCACATAGAAACCTAACCTCGAGTAACCTCTGTGTATATGTGTACTTTTTTACATGCACTAGAGTTTTGCCTTTGCTCGCTAATGCAGCTTGGTGTTTAGGGGTTCATGAATTGCGCGTTTGTGATTTGTCCATTTTGAGTTTTAGGGATTTTGTGTCTGCCATGTGACCAGGAGGTCACGGGTTGAAGCCGTGAAAACAGCCTCTTGCAGAAATGCAGCGTAAGCCTGCGTACAATAGACCCTTATGGTCCGGCCCTTCCACAGACCCCGCACATAGGGGAGCTTAGTGCACCGGGCTGCCCCTTTTTTTTATGATGTGGTTTTATAAGTAAGCCAGAGATGAGGTGAAGGGTAAGGTTTTTGAGGAAAAAAGTTCTAAATGATTTTAGAATTTGAATATGAACAATGGAGGTAAAGCGGAAAGTGAAAAAGAAAAAGAGAATACAGTTTATGATGATAGGAAAGAAAGAGCTAGTACTGATGATTTTGGTCGAGCAATATCGAGAACTGCAGCTGCACAGATATGCGAAAATATTGGATTTGAGGGCTTTAATGAATCAGCTCTTGAATCATTTGCTGATATTACGGTTAAGTACCTTTGTGATTTAGGCAAGACTGCAACTTTACTATTTTAGTTGGGAGGACAGAGGTCAATGTCTTTGATGTAATAGAAGGATTAGGGGATTTGGGTGTGTCCACAGGTGCATCAAAGGTGAAACATTGTGGATTGGATTCTCGAACTATTAAGGGGATTGTTGAGTTTGTGAAATCAGCTCAAGAGATTCCATTTTTGCAACCTCTTCCATGTTTTCCAGTGATTGAAGATAAAAGGAATATACCCAGTTTTATACAAATGAATGAAACTACATCGTTTAAGCACATACCTTTATTGCTGCCTGCATTTCCTGATCGGCATACTTATGTACGCACCTCTACATGGAACGAGAGAGCTTGTGATCCCCGAACTGATAAAGTTAAGTTAGCAAGGCAGCGAAGGAAGGCGGAAAGGTCTTTGTTGAATTTGCAGCAACGATTGGTGTGCAACGGTTCAACAGAGGTATCAGCTTCCAATGAACCAGATGATGTTAGGATTGAATCAAGTGTTAATGCAAGTGGAAACGCATTTGTTGCAGTGTCTTCAGAAGCTGGAGAAAAAGACATGGCTGCAGTTTCCCTCGCAGCTAAACTTTCCAATGAAACGGACAAAAACCATGTTTCTTTGCCGGATATTTATTCTCCTGCAAAGGCCATTGAAGGATGATCCTTCTGAAACAGGAAATGGTGTGGAAGAAAATCCTCCTGACCAGATGGTTCTGGGAGAACAGCATCTGGGTTCAGGTGGGACGAAGAGAAAAATGACAAGAAGAGGAGAGCAGAGTTGATACTTAGACAATCTATTGAAAACCAGCAGGAGTTGACCCAGTTGTAAATTAGTTCATAGAATGGCTAGCTTGATTGTTTGTTCCATATATTCTGTTAGAAAAGGTCAGCAATTGATTAGGCTAGGTAAAAAGTCGGTCGAAATGTAGTTTTCCTGTGAATGGCCCACGTCTATGAAGAAGTCTGATGTAGGCAAAGCATTTTTGGACATTAGTTGTTTAACCTCCATTGACCGATTTGTTCCCTTACCCTAACAAACAAATGAAACAGGAGGAAGTATGATTTTAAATGGAAACTATTAAGGATTTCCAATGGGATCTTGTATTCTTGAAGGTGGACGTCTGGATTCTTTTTCTCCATGCAAATTTGAAGCAAAACTGGGAGTGTAATAATTAAAGGAATAAGAATAGATGAAGCTATGAACTCCATCTGATATATGCTACGGCAGAAATAGACAATGTCAATCATGTTAATTTTTCGCTGCTGTTTTCAGGCCCTAAAATTGTAGTTCTACACTTGTATTATATACTATTTTCTTTATAGATGAGAGACTTTCTTCCTGTGTAAAATCTTGTTCCAGCCTTGTCTGCCACCACTTGCTTCCTCGTAAATGCTTCGTATGAGGGTCTTTTCTTATGTTGTTCACAAAGCATGATGCACCGTCATTCTTGGCTGACTGATTTCTTTTGTTGATTTCGTTGCTGAGACACTTTGTAGTCTTATCTCCATTCAGAATACACTGCTTAATTTCACTGTGCTAATTATATAGAATTATAGTGATTGTCTTTAGTTGGCTGCTTGGCTGATTTGTAAAACTCAAGGCAACTAATCTGCCATCGCCGTTGGATTGGCTAAATTCAGCTGTGCGGTCACAACACATGAAATACCAAGTTTCTTTCTTGTAAAGCCAGAAGGGTAGAGAGCTGTGTTCATTTCCTGTAATCCACTGTTAGCTATATCGTTTTCCTATGAATATTTTGCTTCCACCACATCTTACTGAAAAAACAGGGTGTGGCAGCCTTATTTCGATTTATAGCTAATATGGCCGAGGATTAAATTTGCAAATCATGACTTGATGATTTGGCTTCATCTAAGTATTTGCCAGTGTTTGCATTTCGTTTATTTGAAACAATTATGCAGCATAAATTCACAGACATGCAACGTGCACTGTAGTCATCATATTTACATTTTTACATTTTGGGTGCCTGAAACCAACAACTATTGTGTAACTTTTTTTAAAAACTATTTTTCATTTAGTTGCACACTTTGTTTTTAACTCTTTATGTACTGCAGCATTATATGTTGATCTCAGCGTAAAAGAAGTCTTTGGATCTCACTAGCTTCACACGGTATGGCTATCACACCTTGCTGGTAATATCCAAATTCTCTTTCTGCTTCTTCTAGTAACTTGATAAAAGCAGGATGAGAAAGAAAATCTAGAGCGAGCGAAAATTTCCTTGGCTCTGTGTTCACCCCCAGAGCAAGCACCGAGAAGTGCCCTTTCTTTATGGTAGTTGTAACTTGAGCTTTCCTTTTCTTCCAGTTGCTGATGTTGTGGAGAAACATATTGTCAACAAGCTTTATGATCTGCTTAACCCTGGCAAAATAATAGCCCCCACATATCACTTTTGTTTTTTGGTTTTTCTTGCTCATTCTTATTCTTCTAATGTGCTGAAAAGGTCAAGTCCTTGTTTCTCTATTGAGAAAGCTTTAGGTGACATTTTCAGCTGAATTGGAATCTCATATATATAGTGTCTGACTGCTGTGGCAGCCTTTTTTATTTTCTCATTTGACAAGCCATTTTAGGGTTATCCACTTTGTCCTCCCCACAAAGGGACACACCAGAGATGTCACTGTTGAAAGGGTTTTAGGTAACATGGATTGCCACTTGCCAGTAAACATTCCTACTTTGTCCACTTTATATTTTCATTTTGACACCATTTTTGTGCAGTGATTATCGATTGAAAATTGAATTGTCTCATAAATTCCTTTGTCTTTTTCTTTCTCTTTTTGGTTTGTTTTTTCTTTATAACTGATTCTCAAAAGCAAGTTGGCGCATGATGTCGAATTTCAAAGGATAATGGGGTTGCTCGTTTACACTTCTCTACTTAAATGCTAAGCCTTGTCTAATGCACGATTCGAACTCGTGATGTGCACCCAACTCCACACATTGGTGCATTCTGCTTTTACTATTGAACCAATACCCTCATTTACTAATCCTTACTTGATGAATACTTACTTGTTCTCGATGTTTCAAATCAAACAATTTAATTTTAGCACTTAAAAGTTAAAGTGAGATTATATATCTCATAAACCATGGTGAATTTCAACATGTGTATGACAATATATGTCTTGAATTTATTGATCTGGTGTAAGCACCGAATGCCGCTAATTTTTTACCTACCTTATCCATTTCCCCTCTCCCCACATAAAACAAATGGAAATACAGATATCTCACTCTGCTTAATTAGATACTTGTGTTGGGAGCTGTATTTCTTGAATTTTATTGTATACTACCATACAATGTGTATGCAAACCGTGGCTAAGGTAACAACCACAGAAAGTTATGAAGGAGAAAATGACTGTTGAAGTACTGTTCACCAAAGATGTTCCCTTATTGGCTAGTAAAGAATTTGAATGGTAAGCACACTAGAAACGGGGCATTTACAAGTGCAGATATATAAAAAATTAGCTTGGTACAATGCACTTGAGAATTGGGAGAGATATTATATTCATTGCTAAGTTGCTATGATAGGAACATATTTGCTGTATTCATAGCTGTCCCCTTATCCCACAGCCTCTTCTGTTCCTCAATTCCACTCCATTTTTGGAATGTTCCCATTTATTCTCTTCCATTCACTACGTGGTCTAATATGAGCTTTAGCTCAGTTGAACAATTTGACTATCTTAAGAGTGTTTCTTCAGAAATGCAATCAATTCTTTGGGCCAAGGTAGCTATTTTACTGTTAATAACTACAGTTTCTTTCCAGCTCAGCAGCTCTTCCTTCATAGTTCCACATAGAAGTCAAAACATTTGCGCAAGTACATGCAATCATGATTCATGTTTTATACTTCAATACCATACAAGAGGAATGATTTGTGTGGTGTTCAATTTTTCGTTTAAACTGATTATGGAAGGACCTGGTTTTTCTAAGTGTTCCTTAACCTACTATTGCTGAAATAGTAAATGCGGAAAGTAAAGAATACAAGTATTTTATGTGGAAAACACCTGGCTCAAAAAGTGAAAAAATCACGGCCTACTTCTCAGTAGGATTTTCCCAAACTCTTCACTAAATCACTGAGCCAAAAACTACATTTAAAAAACACTTTTGTAAACCTAGGATTAACTCTAATTCCGTTATGGCAAATAGCCTCTAACTGTTGCGACAACTTCAAGTTAACTCTAACTTGAATACTCTGAGTACTTATTACAATTGCCTCTAGATTAAGCTGAAAGGTACAATATGAAAACACTTACTACAATTGAGCTAGGATAAAAGACAGACACTTGGAATTGGTTCTTCTATCTGGTTCATGTAGCTTCAGGTTCACACACTTGAATCACACAAGAATTGCTTGCAAAATGCCTCGCTATTTTGCTCTCAACTCATGTTTAATTTCAGCTTTTGTGCGAACCTGTAAAATGAGAACATCCTGCAATATATAGAGTTAGTAGATTAAGAAATAACTAGAGTTCTAATGCTACTCTTCCTTGATGGAAGAGTTCTAGTTAACTTCAACCTCTAACTCCTTCCTTATCTTGGATAGTGTTCTCTTTGAGTAGGGAGTCATTCTCCTTATCAATTATGCAACCTTTTCGATCAGAATATATCAAATATACCAAGTTAAGCTTATCTCCTTCAAGTGCATCCCACTTGCTTGAATCTGCCCATGTTTATGCCCATAAGGGATGGACCCGGTTCATGCTAGAGCTTCTTTTGTCGATCTTCAAAATAACCTTCACTTGGGCCAACAAATTCCCCCCTTTTGATGATGACAAACTCTGTGCTTTCATAAGCTTAGGCCCTGTTTCAACTCAGCTCAACATCAACACATAAGCTTAGGCCATGTTTCAACTCAGTTCAACATCAACACAATGTAAGAACATTTTACCTTTTTTCACTTATCATCAAGGACCAGGTTCATTAGGTTATAAACATCACTGTTCAAAAGCATAACCTTTTTTCTCCTTTTGGCATCATCGATAAATTGCATAAATATATAAGATAATCAGATTTTAAGACTTACTCATGGCCACTGGGGTACTTCAAATGCAAACATGGATTAATCATCATATATCATGCTAAGGATATTAACCATCAAAGAAATATAAACAAACAGTTAGAGCAAAAGACAATGAATTTCATTGATGATTGATAAGATCCTACCACAAAGCATAAGAAGAAATAAACACACTAGAAGCATGAGCAAAAGAAACAAAAAAATCCCGAATTGGGTCACTGGTTGATCTACACTAGGCTAGGAGGCTTAGGGCTGGGAAGGACCGGGTGCTTGGTTTTTGGCTTGGAGGAGTTTCAGCACCTGAAGAATGCTATCATTCTTCTCCTTTTCTCTTGCCAACTCAGTTCTGAGAGCATCTCTCTTAGTCTCCACCTCAGCCAACCTCTTTTTCAGCCTCTCAATCTCAGCATCTTTAGCCCCATTTTCTTGCACCAAGGCTCGAACCTTGCTATTCACTGATACCTTCTTGGATGAACCAGGTTATTTATGAGTGGCATGGACTTCATAGTCACAAGCAAGCGGAGTATTTGTCCCAAAATGTTCCTTGCTTGTACTAACCTCTCATTTCTTCATAGGTACCTTAAAATGTGCAAGCACAGCTGTGAGAATGAAGCCATAGGAAATGGCATGAGTCTTGGT